ATACAATATCAATCAAAATATTCAATACAAAACTCTAAATCAATTAATGATCGAAATACATTTCAATTATTAAATCAACAACAACTTGTTATTGATTATATTCAAGGTAAATTAATACTTGCACAACGTGAAGAAAATAAACGTTCACAATTATGGCGTATGACAAGTAGTGGTTTATTAGTACATACAGGTTCATCATCACCACGTGATTGGAATAATAAAAATGTTCCATCCGATGATATTCGACAATCATTTGTCTTAGATATTGAAGAAACTTCAACAACTAATTTAAAAAATATTCATTCAATGACACGTTCTATACGTTTAACTATTCGACGATATGATCCTAAACGAATATTAACACAAACATGGACATTTAAAGATGATGGATATTTATGTATGGGTGAAACACAAATGTGTGTACAAGTATTAGGTGAATTGAAAGAAAAAAATGAAATTTTACTTGGACCACGTCGTTTTAATGAACAAGGTATAATACTTCCCCCATTACCAACAATGTATATTCGACCACGTCGACGCTTACAAGGTTCAGGTTTTTTATCTGTACGAACATATGCTGATGGACCAACACGTATACTTGAAATAGCTAATGTTAAAACAAGTAATTCATTAGATAATCTCAAATCAGAAACATTGATGCAAACAACAACTGATAATATTCCATTGATGAATTATCAATTTGATCTTCGTCTTGCAAGTGGTATTGGTGTATCAATAATTAGTTCAATGGGACGTGAATCGGAAGAACTTATTTTTATGATATTTAATGATATTAATCTTGCATATAAAGATGATAATAATGAACAATCTATTGATTGTACAATTGGTACAATAGTTATTTCAAATCAATTATTAATGACATCAACACCATGTTTACTTTATGCAACTTATTTTGAAGATGCATCTATACGATCAGCTTTTCGTTTACAAGCAAGTTTACAAAAACCGACTGCTAATTATAAGTAAATCAAATTATTTCAAAAGTTATTTTTTTCTTTTTACCTTTATGAAACACGATCGAAAAGGAGCGTTGAAGCATACGAGTAAAAATACGTAGACCGACAGAAATTCTTAGTAATGTCTTGCCTTCACCATAGTTCGTGATACAGGCCTTTATAAGCATCCAGTGCATACGATTAGAGCGGGGAAAACAACGTGATTTTTCCCTCCTAAATTTTTCTTGCATTCTGTATTTCTTCCTGGAAATTGTGCACAACTAACATTTTTTTTATAGTTCGGTGGAACAGATTGCTTATGTAAAAGTAAAATTCTGTTTACAACTTCTGAAAGAAAACTAGTTGTTTTCTTTCAGAAAGTGGAACTGAATCAAGTATATATTTTGAAGAGTGATGTGTTAAAAAGACAATCCAACTTAATATCTGGACAATAACTTCAAGTGCCCTTTTACTGAATATGTTTCGACTAAGTAGCTTATTAAATATTTGATGCAGATGTTATCTTAAAATACATAAATCATAATATTGATATAGTGTACTTTTTTTGAATATGATGTTTACAACACTTTGGTAGGATATCATAGGCGACACATGACCAATTATTTTAGGTGAAGCAATAAAGTTTTAAATGAGTCTAGTTTGTTTCTCTATTCCAAGAGTAGAGGGTGTGAAGAACACCCACACCACTCTACTCGCGCGTCACAGACCGTGTATCAATAACGTCTCGTTCAACTCTACTTCCTTATTGCATTTCTGGAGGATTAACTAAAATTATGGTGAAGAAATGTGTTCCAAAAATCGATAGGATAAAACAATCTCTCTTTGTGACTAGTAACAGCAATTGCATTGTGTTTCATATTTTAGTCTTGTAGAGAGAGTGTACTAACAGCTTTTTTTTTCCTCTCTTATTTAGACAATTGTATATATTTCATTATTTATTTATTGGTTTAAATTCTATTACAATTAAAATTGATGAAATTCTTCTATGGAAATTATTTGATTTTTTTAATATTAATTTTTCTTCATCATCAAATGATAAAACATTAAAAAATGATGATCAAACATATGATTTAGATGAAGGTGAATATGATACACAACGTTTATTATCATTATTAACATCAACACAAGCAACAAGAATTTATTTTTCAGAATTATCAATATCATCTATTGATCTTGATTTAAGTGTTTATTGTAGTAATTCACGTTCATTACCAATACATTTATTAACAATAAAACGTCATGCACCATTTCCATTAATACGTTTTGAAAATGCACCAATACATTTAAAATCTTATGATCAAATACATATATTTAATACATATGATTTTTTTTTACTTGCACTTACAACACATTATGTTGATGAACTTAAACGACAAGCATTTAAAATCTTAGGTAGTGTTGATTTTCTTGGTAATCCACTTGGATTATTTAATGATGTAACTGATGGTTTTGCAAGTCTTGTTGATCATGGTAGTGTTACTGGTTTAGTTAAAAGTGTTGCACATGGTGTAGCTGATTCAACATCAAAATTTACAGGTACACTTTCATATGGACTTGGAAGACTTGCTCTAGATGAAGAACATGATGATATGCGTGAAGCTATTGCAAATAATTATCGTGGTTCATCTATAGGTCATGTTATTGGTGGAACAGTAGGTTTAGCAGCTGGATTTATTGGTGGTTTAACATCAATTATAACACAACCATATAAAAGTATTGTTGAAGATGGTGTTGGTGGTTTAATGAAAGGCGTTGCTAAAGGTATTGTTGGAACAGTAAGTAAACCAATGGTTGGTATACTTGATTTTGCAAATGGTTTAGCATTAGCCGTTAAAGAAGGTTCACGTTCATCAAATTCAATAATTAAAAATCGTATAAGAACAACACGATGTCCAACAAATATCTATGGACTTTTACAATCATATTCAACATTTGATGCTAATGGTCAATGTTTATTATATCAAATGAATAAAGGAGATTTAACAGAAAGATATATTACACGAATAAATATTTCACAAACACCTGCTAATTCATCATCGAAAAGAAAATTAGATAATATTAATAATGATGAATATGCATCTGATCAACGAAGTTGTTGTATCCATGTATGAAATTTAAATTCATTTTAGACAAAAATAAAAATAAACTTAATTATTTATATTTTATTCTAGGTAATGATTACATCTCAACGTGTAATTATCTATCGAACAGACACTAATCAAGATGAATCAGATTATGAAATAACTGACATATATGATCTTAGTTCAATTATAAATGCTCTTGTAATAGGTTGGTATAATTTCTTTTAAGTTTTCTCAAGTATAACTAGACAAAAAATTTTCAAACATTCAATAATTGATAGATTTTGATAAGTAGAGACTAATATTTATTATCAATTCAAAACTGCTCAATAGTTCTTTGCTTACAAATGCTAAAGGTCTATATTAATAAAAAAAAACTGACCTAAAGTTGACTCATTTCTTCTTCCTTTGGACTGAAATTTTTCGTGACAACTTCACAAACAATTTTGTTTTGCGTTAGAAATATCGCTTCTAAAACTAGAAAGAATCAACATGCAGAAAAAATATCTTTTGTTAATAGTGTTAATAAAGAATATGCTTACAAGGAAATCATTCGAATTGATACCATCCGTTTGAGCTTATATTGGACTGACAACGGACGCCTAAATAAGACTAGCAAAGGTCTCGAAGAGTTCATCGTCACAGATCTCTAGAGCAGAATTATGATCGTTGTATTGATTTTTTTAAAGCTAGCTTTAGATGTTTACTGAAACATGAAAAAAAAAACAGAATTTCGACTTGAACTTTTGCTCATAGATAAGTCGAATGATTCTTAGAATATCTGGAAACTTTCAGTCGAAAAGAATGTTCTTTTGTCAAGATATTGGATTTCCAAGTAAACTCGATTTTGTATCATGTTTGTGGCGAATGATTCGTTTTTAGAAATTCGATATCTCAACAAAAGAATATTCTTCTCGGCTGAAACTTTCAAGAAATTCTAAATGTCATTCGACTTATCTATAAGCAAAATTCTACATCGAAACTCTGCCTCTTCAATCAACTCTTACACTCTCAAAAATTCAGTAAAACAGCCCTAACTTGACTTGAAAAATTCCTGAGGACGAACCTTCTTAGGCTTTTTTTAATCTTACCAAGACCTCCTTTATGGACTCAATATAAGCTTAAACGATGAGTATAAGTTCTGGTAGTTCCCTCGTTAGTAGTAGGTGAAAAATATTTCAATTTATCAAATAATCATAATAAACAAAAATGAGAACGTAGGATTGGGAAAAGAACTTCATTTAAAACATTGTTTTATTGAATTTGTTACATTTTTATTAATTTAGAGGATGAAAATCGTCGACCATATATAGAATTTCTTCATAATCAACCTCAACGTTCGAGTAAAATAACAGCAACAACAACAACAAGTGGAAAACCATGTCAACGTTCTCTTCTTCGATGTGATTTACATGATCGAGCAATGCGATTAACTCGTGATATTCAACGAGCTAGAGAAATTTTTGAAGAAGAAAAATTTACATATATCCCACCAGATGATGAAAATAATAATAATGATGATGATGATGATATTCCAAATGATCAACAACTCGATGAAACAGTACAAATGACTTGATTCAATTCAACTATCAATAGTCTTCCATTGTACAGTTTATATATACATATATCTAACAATAAACATATCAAATCCATGTTTTTGTTTATTGATGTTGAATGTTTGTGTGTGTATGATTCCGTCCGTTTTTCGTTTGAATATCTATTTTTTGTCATGAACACAAAATCTATATATTCTTCTGTTTTTTTGTGTTTTATTTACGTATTTAAGTTGTTCAAGACAATACATTGTTTATTTTTTCATTTATAGAAAACATCTCATATAATTCTCACAATGGTGGCTTTTCTTTCTTAAGATAAACAATATAAATAATTTCAAAGAAATTTATTATAAGTTTTAGAAAAGATTTATTTTTTTAAAGAAGTGATGGATGTAACAGCATGTAAAAAACTTTTCGATTTATGTTCACAATCATTGAGTAGTACTGAGGTTGGTCGTTTAGTTTTTCGAGATAATTTAATAATAATAATTTCGTTGTGTTTTTTTTTTTTGTAGAATGAAAAATTCTTTGAAGCTTGCCAATTACTTTGTTCTGTCATTCCTACTATATCTAATGTATGATTATCAGTTAGTTTAAAACTATTTCTTCGATTATTTGTATATATATATATATCTATATATATATATTTTCACTATTAGGATGTATTTCAATCGTTACCAGATAATATCTTGCTTGATAGTCTCGGAAATCTATTACAATGTCGTCTTCGTAAGTGTTTTAAGAAAAAAAAAGACCTAGAATTTTTTGTTTATATATTTATTCTATTACTTAATAAGGAAATGAACAACGTGCTATTGTTATTGATGTCTATGCTTGTTTGATAGAACAGCATAAATCTGTTTCGTTTCTTTGTAAACATAATAAAAATCTATTCATACTATTGGTTCTTTTGTGTGCTGTTGAAGTACGTATGATGGTCGAAAATTCTCAAATAAATGAAGTAAATACTATTACATTTTTTGTTGATATTATTTCAATGAACTATTGTTTTCGTCTATGATAGATTTTAGAACATCAACAACATCTTGCTGCTTGTTATTTAATCATTGAATATACGATAGCTAGTGTTTGTCAATCCGATGACTTAACCGATGATGATGTTTCATCTGTTCTTCCTAAACTAATTGAAATGTTTCATGGTTGTATCTTTCTCATCGATCAAATTATTGAAAATGTTGAAAATAAACAAGTAAAAATCATTTAGAATTATTTTATTTTTATCGGAAATTGTTTTTTTTCTAGATATTTGATACAGTTCTTCAAGCAACTGTTCGTATACTTGGAATTTGGTTAAGTCAAGAACCAATGGCCTTGAAAACAGTTGTACAACCTCATTTAAATAAATGGATGCAATATGGGTAGATAAGATTTTTTTTTTCTATTAATTATAGTATCCATTTTTTTTTCTTTTATTTACTTTAGATTAAATACGCCAACTTGTACTGAAACTTTTAAAAAGTTTCTTGAACCAACTTTAAAATCTTATGAAGAAGATTAAGATTCTTTATTCATAACTAATATCTCTTCATTTACTTCATAATTATAGTCATGATTAATTTGTTCTTCTTATTCACGAGAAGCAGTACTCACATTATTTGTAATATAATAGTTTCTTGTCTAAAAGAATAAAATAAGAAAATATCGCTTCGAAATAGAAAGTGAATAGACAAAAAGAAACAGTGTTTGAACGATCTATCCTTATAACTAACAGCAACAATTTCCATTAAGCAAACAAAAAAAAGTAATCATCGATGAATTGTTTCATGTAAGAAAATTAAAGTAGTCAAAAAAGTAGCAAATTATCTATATTAGGTAAGTAATTCAATAAACAATATTCTTACTTCCAAAAAGTATAATCATCGATACAGGTTTGTATTAGCTACCCTAAATGTTATTTTCCTTTGTTTAAAAAATACTTTTAATAATACACATAGCCGAATTTTTTCTTCTTAGTTTATTAAGATAGGTGCACGAAAGGATAGCCCGAGGCGCCTAATATTTCATAAATGACATGAACTCTTTTACTTGGCATCTCCTACTTCGAGAACAACCTTTGATAATTTCTATTATCATCTGCTTGAAAACTGTTGTTTTTAGAAAACAAGCAGGAAATTCACTTTTTCATTTTTTCTTTGTTTAGGTTTTTTTGATCGTACATCCCAGATTTCTCGAAGGCGCTTCATTGTAGTCAATTGGGTTTTGATGCTTGAAAGAACATGTCAAGACATAGTCTCTTTTTTGAATCAAGCTTTGTTTCTACTTTTTAAAAGAGTACATTTATCATTAGAGTGTCATTTTTTTTTGAGAACTTTGCTTCGTTTACAAAGTAAAAATTTAAAAAATAAAAGGCTCTGTCATGATCTTTCACACAAAAACAAATTAAACATATGAAATGAAGATTCACAGAGAATTTTGAACTACCAAATGATCGACCTTTTTACATTTGTTTGTTGAACATCTTCCGGAAACGTTATGGTATAAGACTGAACATTTTACTGTAGCTTCTTTACTATAGCCTCAATATAAATTGAAAATTTCATGTGATTTGAATGTATTTGGCCTAAGATCGATTTTTTGACGGCGACAGGAGATTCTCCTCTTTTCCGAAATTTCTGAAGGATGGCTCTTCAGAAATATTTGAAACTTTCAGGATAGATAGATCCTCTGTGAGCAGAGCAAAAGTTGTTATAGACTCCAAATTTCCAAATACTTCCTTCTAGGAAATATCTGGATTGTAAAGGCTAAAAACCACCGCGCATTTTCAGTTGCAAAACGTCCAATAGAGCTGATAGTTTTTTTTACAGATACTAGACAGTGTTTGAGGTGCCTACTTTTTATTTCCTTCTGTTCGAATAATAAGATCAAAATACCGAGCGTATCTCCAAAAATACATGTTTTTTGTAAAATCTGCCAAGAATCAACGGTGCAATATTTTTTCAAAATAAAAAAAAGCAGGCATCTCAAACAGTGTCCAATACCTGTAAAAAAAAAGTTCCAGTTTGATCAAACATACTATATCGGAGAAGCGCGGGACAATTCTGTATTACTCTTGTGTCAAAATTGATTTTGAGAAAAACGAATAACAAATTTTCCTGTATGTATGAGGACTTGTTTTTTCTCCAACTAAAGTGATCGAAAACTGTCCATGTTCAGCAGTGTTAGAGATCGATGATCTATGCTATCAACATCTTTGAAATGAGGAAATAATCATTATCATCAGGAGAAATTTGCATAGAAAGAATAATCACAGCACGAATTTTTCTGATCAAAAAGATTTTGATTTTAACATTCGGAAATGACGGAAGAATCCTCGTAAACACATTGTGATTCATTCTATCTACAAACAACTGATTGAATCGTACGTCAAAAGCAAACAATTTTCCTATTTTTTTCAAATTATTAATTATACTTGTAATCTCATTGCCCACGAAACAACATTTGTTATGAATTATTCTCAGATGACGCTAGCTGACATAACTGAAAAAATAGTCTTCGATTTGTGATTTGTCACATGTAAAATGGTTAGTTATGAATGATGAATGAAAAGAAAAATAATCAGTGCCTATGACAATACTGTTTGACAAAAAGTTGAATTAATTTTCAATTGCATCGTCAAACGTAACATTAATAATAAGCACTAACAATATTTAATTTCGCCAATTATGCCCGACGAAGTTTCTGATTTAACACCAATGCTTAGTCCAGATACAGAAAGCAGTGTATGTTTTATTGAGATTTATTATTTTTTTATTTAATTATTTTTTTGTTTGATTTTGTTTCTAGGTCCTTATTAAATCTACATCATCACGAGGAAACAAATATAAAAATGCAATAACAATGATTGTTTTATTTCTTATTAATTTATTAAATTACATGGATCGATTTGCTATTGCAGGTAGTTTGGTGGTTTTTTTTTTCATAAAACAGAAATGAAATTATGAACTCATGATTTAACTTGTAGGTGTTCTTGAACAAATTCAAGATTATTTTGACATTGGAGATGCTGAAGCTGGTCTTCTTCAAACAGTATTTGTTTGTAGTTACATGGCTTTAGCACCTCTTTTTGGTTATTTAGGGTACATAGAAGAAAACGTACAAAATAAAAAAACTAAATCTATTTAATTTTTTCTGTTGCAGAGATCGATATAGTCGAAAATTGATGATTATCTTAGGTGTGACTCTTTGGTCAATAACAACTATAGCTGGATCATTTGTACCAAAACATGTAAATTTCTTTTATATATAATATAACATTAATTTAATATATGTATTTTTCTATAAGTTATTTTGGCTTTTTGTATTATTACGTAGTTTAGTTGGTGTTGGTGAAGCATCGTATTCATGTGTTGCACCGACAATTATTGCTGACATATTTACACATGATATGAGAACAAGAATGTTAGCTGTTTTTAATATTGCTGTACCACTAGGGGGGTAAAATAAATTTTTTTGTTAAAGATTATTTTAACAAAATGTTTTATTTTAGTGGTCTTGGATATATTGTTGGTTCTTATGTTTCAAAAACATTTCATGATTGGCGATGGGCTTTACGAGTAGATCATTGTATTGATTTATAATTTTTGATAATCTTACTTTATATATTTTAGGTTACACCTGTTTTTGGTGCAATATGTGTTATTTTACTTATTGTACTTGTTACAGAACCCGTACGAGGTAGTGCTGATGGTGCTCATATGCAAAAAAAATCTAGTTGGCTTTCTGATGTTAAAAATGTTATTAAAATGTTTGTTGAATTTGTATTTTATAAATTAAAAATTTTCATTTATATATTTATTATTTAGTAAAAGTTTTCTTTTAATAACACTTGGATTTACATGGGTAGCATTTGCATTAGGATCACTTTCTTGGTGGGGACCTATTTTTCTTCAAAAAGCTCATAAATTAGCCAATGGCAGTGAAGATTCAAAAGATAAAGCCAAGTAAATCATTTTTTTCTTCTTGTTTACAATATAAGTGTGTTTTTTTTTGTTTTACTAAATAGTGTATCACTCTACTTTGGTATGATAACATGTGGTGCTGGTATTATTGGTGTATTACTAGGAAGTGAAATTGCTAGACGGTATATATTTTATATGAGAAAGCGAATGAATAGAAATTTTTCGTTTTTCTTTTTTTTAGTTATCGTAAACGAAATCCACGTGGTGATCCAATTGTCTGTGGTGTTGCTGTTCTTCTTGCAATACCATTTTTATTTTGTGTACTACTATTATCTAAAGATTATATAGTTTTAACATGGATCTTCATTTTTATTGCTGAAACATTACTTTGTAGTAATTGGGCACTTATTACGGATATGCTTATGGTTGAGTTTCTTTTTTTTTTTTATTACTTAATAATGATTATTTTTATCTCTTATAGTATATTATCATTCCGACAAGACGTTCTACAGCTAGTTCTATTCTTATTTTTATTATGCATCTATTAGTAGGATTTTCATAATTAAAAAAAGACAAAATTTTTTTTTTGTATATATATTTTTTTAATAGGGTGACGCATCTAGCCCATATATAATTGGTGAAATTAGTGATTTTTTTCGAAAAGGTGCTGATGATGATTTAAGTAATTGGGTATCATTACGCAATGCATTAATGTTAACACCATTTGTTGCTATACTTGGTGGTGCAGCTTTTCTTTTTGCAGCAATGTTTATTATTCAAGATCGTCGTCGAGCAGAGGAAACGATTGAATGTATGTATATTTAATATTAATTAAAAAATTATTTCGCAAAAGAAAATTATTTTTTTCTTATCATAATAGCAATGAAAATATCGAATAATTTTGGATTATCTGAAAACGCTTAATTAGAGAATAAAAAACAAGTGTGTGTCGCTCATAATTTGCTCTCATCAATTGATTGCTTTCATTCGTTGAATCTAATTTCTCTAGAGAATTCGATGAGTTAGAGATTAAATAGTTATGTTCTTTTTATTTCTGACATGCAATAAGATTCATTTTTTCTTTAAAAACAAAAACGATTTTTTTTCTTTTTTTTTTGTTTCTTAATTCTTTCCAGGTTATCGTTATCATTCAAATTGAAGTTTTACAGCAAACAGTTTCTAATGAGGTATGAATTGAATTTTATCAGGAAGAAAAGGCTTTAGTATTTTTTTTAAGTAAATTTTCTTTTAAGTATTATGCTATTTTAATTGCATAGTTAATGCTACTGTTTTTTTATAAGAATTATTTTATACTTGAATATTTATTTAATCTTTTTTTTTGTTTTAGCTGTTGATGATGATTCACAAATTTGATTTTTGTTAAATGTTTCATTTATTTTATATATGTGTCTCTAAGAGTCTTTTTTTTTGGTAATTTTTTTTTTCTACAATCAAATGACCTAAACATGGCAATGAATTATTTATTTTATTATGTTCTTTTTTCTTTGAAAACTAAATTCAAAAGATTTTCTTTCAGATGGAATATTAAATAAATAGTTATAATGAGTTCACTGGGAAGATCACCATCATCAGCAAAAGACGTAATTAAAATAATAATAATACATAGAAAGATAACATAATTGATTTTTATATTTTAGCTTGCTGGAACACTATCAACTCCAGAAGAAATTGAATTACGAGAAGTGGTAAGAATAATAATTTTTGTTTATTAATTATTGAAACAGTGATGTCTGAGTGACTACGTTGTTGAGCACATCTCCACAAGATACTGTATGCAAACCTTAGTATCACTAACCATGGAATAATTGTGGACAAGTCAGTTAAGGATTATTTGTCTCGGATTGCATTCGTCTGATAGCCCAGTGACTAACGGATGATCGGAAAGTATTTTCGACGAGTCAAAAGCTATGGATTAGGATACTCTTTTTGAATATGGACTTAGAAATTTTGTATCAGTTTTTTGTTTGAGTGTAATGAAATAGTCTTTGAAAAATGCATGATTTGAAGTTCTTTTTGTCTTTCGAGAAAACACTCAAATTTTCGTTATTCCCGAATACTCATTTTTAAAAAATCGATAACCTTTTTTGTATTGAACGTTGCTCTTGAAAAAATGCTTGAGCAAAAGCTACAGCTTTCTTCAATATTAGATTACATAAAGAAGTATCCATTCTACTAAACGAACGACAATTTTTAGCATGTTCAAAAAAGGATTTATAGGATAAATAAAAACCTATTGGATCATCGTTAAAAATAATTTTTCAGATCCTTCAAAAAAAGCACAAAATTCTGTTCGCGACCTATACTTTGTGATTTGTCGGAAACATTTTCTAGCCGGTCAAATAGTGAATAAACATCTTGTCCAGAAACTTTCCCATCATGCATTACGTTATGAGACAGATCTACTCTTGTGATTGGTTAGTGTGTATGTGTAACTCTGCATCAGGATGGTCTTCTGTCTAGAGTTACCACTACTACTAGTTCTATGATATCTGACTATCGAGTCAGTCGCTAGGCAGAACTTCATCCTACACGATGATTGAAGGACAGGGATATTCTTCCTTATTATTTATTGAATTTTTTTATAATAATTAGAATCAACCATTGTTACCTACAAATAATGACATTCCAAGTCCGACTGAACAAAATGATGAAAGTAAAAAATATTTTATATGATATTCGATATAATATTGATAATGTATAGCAACGCCATTTTCATTAAATTCGGATGATAATGAAAATGGACAACCAACTATTGAGTTTCGTCCAGCAAGAGAAAATGAAACTGATATTCGACAACGTCATCGTCATTCTACTTCATCGAATCGATCGCCTACACGTCGAAATGGTGGTTTACGACAAATAGCACGCGACTTCTGGGCTGAGTAGAGTTTTTGTCTCATTTGAAAAGTATTTTCTAACTAAATCTATCATTTTTAGTTTAATGCCAGCTGATAATCGTAATGCAAGAATATTACCAGTATTAATTTTTATTATTTTTATTGTAATTATTCTTCTTACAATTATATTCGTAGCACTTGGTTATACAAGTATTGATTATGATGAAGTAAATATAATATTCTATCTTTCTGAGTGTTTTTTTCATTTTATATGGATTTTTTTACTAGTTTGGTGTAACACATAATTTATGGACAGGTATTATGGATTTAAAACATCCATATTTAACTGGGGTTTATTTAATATTACCATGGAAGAGAATGATTAAATTCGATAAAACAGCTCGATATCTCAATTTTGATTCTCTGACAATTTTTACAACTGATCAAGCTAGTGTTATTTTAGATGCTACAATTGTCTATCGAATAAGGTATTCAAATATTTTAATAGTATTTTGAATAAATAAGATATTAAAAGCTTTCAAAATGTTTTTATGTTAATTATCAGTTCTAAGTTGTTTTTTTTTCATTTAAATCAATTATTCATTAATTAAAAGTTTGTATCCTTGAATTAAATGATTGTTTGTGTAGAATGAAAACTGAGAAATTTGTTTTAGAATATTAATCGAGATAAAAATATAGTTGGTTTTTGAGAAACTGTTCGTTGAATGTAAGAATCAACTATTTCTTCGCCAAAATAAAATTATTATCTACTTATAAATTTCTATTAGATGTGTCAAGAGAACTGTTAAACTTCATCGTTAGTGTCTTACGTTTTTTTGAGTTTATCTTTGGAACATTTGTAAGGAATCGTTTTATGGTATTAGAGTTTGATAGGTTGAATTTAGTTCCAAAATCAAATCTCAAGCACATCCGATATGAAATAATATTTATAACGTTAGAAGAAAATTTCTCTACAATTAATGCAGAAAAACTGAAGATAAGCAAGAATTTGAAAAGAATCGTTGTCTTATTATATACATCGAAGAAAAATCTTCATTTTTTTTTCAAAATATGCGTTGTCATATACTAGTTTATAGATCTAGTGAAGTATCAATTGAAGAGACCTTTAAAAAGCCATAAAGTTCCGAATTCATGAAAGGTCAGATTATTCGTCTATAAAAATAAAAGATCGGCCATTTGAAGCCTCTCTTTCACTGGTTTTTACATTTTATCTTATCAACCTTAGTAATGAAAAGCTATTGCCTAGCGTTAAAACGTTGAGTATCACAGAGAGCATAGTTATGTAGAAAAGGCTATGCAGTTTAAGTCATTTAAATAAGAAATATGTGATAAAATCTTCGAAAGATATGTGAAAAACTTTGATATTTATTAAAACGATTTATCATAGAATCTTCTTTACCCTAATCGACATCTAACTTCCAATACTAAATGTTATCATATATATTACATGAAATCCAATATTATACTATTCATATATTTCTATTCTCGTGGAATGAAAATATCCTCTAGTGGATATAATAGGATATTTAGCATATGTTTTGTGATTTTCTTCGGAACGATAGATTTGATTGAGCTCATTCGTTTTACCGCAGCTCGGTGATGCTTAGGGAAGAAAAGGATAAAATTTTCCAGTCAAACAAACAACATCTGTTTGAAATATTTATCTAAGAATTTTGTCCATATAGTGGAACCAAAGTGTGTAAGCAAAGATTTAATCGGTTCTTTTTGTCTAAAAGGTTTATTATAGCTGAATCTGTTTTGGTTTTGATAAAAATCTATTCTAAACTGCGTTCTATTATTTAATGAAAATATGAGACTTTTATGTTATTTTACAAATGAAAAAACATGGTATAGATGATAACGGGACACGACTTGTTCAAAATGGTTCTAACAGTGACATGTCGTGAGATTAAAGTTTAGAAATGAATTCCATATCGGCAAAGTCTAGATCTTTCTCTTCATAAATATCGCTGAAAGTTTAAGAAAAAATGATTGGATCGATGACCAAGTAACAGCATTGTTGTAAACCTTTCAAATCTTATAACTATCAAAAGAAATGCGATAGAAGACTGGTTTTTTTTCAGCAAGTTTGACGAATGATGCGGACAACATGAAGAAAAAAATTTCATTGAGATCAATTCTTCTGAACCAGAGTTATTCTCAATATACACGTTGAAATATAACGGTACAATAGATGTGCAATTCGAAGACTTCATAAATAAAATTTCAAATTATTTTGTTGATTTGATGTTGAAAACAACTCATTATCATAAAAATAAAATACAATTTAGATTTATAAGTTCCATCAGTTAAAAAATTCTTTTAGAATTATTCTAATATTGTGATCTCCTATTTAGACTACAATACCAAAGAATACTTCATGTTAAAATTTTTTTTTTCTTTTGATGCAACACGATCTAAAAAGAATGTTGAAGTATAGAGGTAGAAATTTACACACACATCCCCTCCACAATTGTGACAGATATTGTTCATATACGATCAAAGACTGTATTTCAATAACGCCTCATTAAACTACTTCCTTATTGAATTTCTAGAAGATTAAGTAAAAAGATGGTGAAGAAATATATCTCAAAATAGATAGAATAAAACAATCTCCTTGCAATTAATCACAACAACTACATCGTGTTTCACATTTTAATCCCGCAGGCATTGCACTAATAACTTTTTTTATTTTTATTTAGACCCGATCAAATAGAACCAATCTGGTTAAATTTTGCTAATGCACATGAAAGTATTCTTCGTCTTGTTGCTGAAAATATTTTTCGTAATCATGGTAATCAATTTTCTATTTATGATTATCGTGCACGTCGAGAACATGTTGAATATAATTTATCACGTATATTACAACAAACATTATCAGGTGATTGTTGTCCAATATGTTGTCAACATCATACATGTTCAAAAACAATTGAATATTCATGTAAAAAATTAATTCATTGTAATAATACATCAATTACATGTTCACATGGCTATTTTGTTGATATTGATGCTGTTTATATATTTAAAGTTGCATTACCACAACAAGTAATAAAACGTCTTCATATATTAATGCTTAAACCAATTTATACTGAAATAGCTGAAAGTCAAGAAAATACTTCATTAATTTGGATTGAAACAGAACGACAACGAAATGTTTTTTTAAATAAAGCACGTGAAACATTAATGAATGCATTAGCTAAATATGAATTAATACGTGAAAAAGCACGAATTATTTATGAAAGTCGTTTACTTAAACAATTAAGTTCATCTGAAGGAAATTTATTTCGTCGATTAAATATTCAAACAACAACGGATAAATTATCAACGTCATTTTTACTTGAAATGAATCATTTAGCTAATTTAACAAAAACAGTTGATATTGATAGTTTAGTTACACAATGTGATCAAACTGAAAAAACAAAACCAACAAATGATTTATTTGACTTTGTTCCTTCATTGAATGTTTTTGATATGACTGAATTTATTTCTATACTTGATAATTAAATTTATTATTCTATTAAATTCTCAATTGCTTTCTCTTCTTTTTTTTTTTACTCGTCTTTTAGATGTCTAGAGCTGACAAATATGAGAAAATTGAACGTATTGGAGAAGGTAGAAAAAAATTGATATTGTTTATTGTTATGAAATACCTTTTTTTTTTATTCTATAGGTACTTATGGTACGGTATATAAAGCTCGTAGTTTATTAACACAAGAAATAGTAGCTTTAAAAAAAGTTCGACTTGATGATGAAGATGATGTATGAGAAATTGTAGAGGAAATTTATAAATTCTATTTGTTTTTTTAGGGTGTACCGAGTTCAGCTCTACGTGAAATTTGCCTTTTAAAAGAATTACGCCATCCAAATATTGTCAGGTAAATTGATAAAGTAATTTATTATTTTTTTATTAATATATACTTTAATTATATTGAGTCTTCAAGCTACTCAGTGAAGTGATAAAAAAGAGGAAAAAGTACGTCATATAGAATTAGTAGAAGAGAGCGAATACATGAAAAACAGTACAAAGTCATAGATAAGATAGTTTCAGTCACAAACGGAGAAAGCAAATAAAGAACAATAAAATAATCGAAAACAAAACCAAAGTTCAAATGTATATCCACCGGCTTAAGACTTGTCACACATATGCCGCTTCTAAAAAATCGATAAAAAACCCATTGATGAGCTAAATTCAACGTATCTGCACCTGTCATAAGAACTGTCTCAAAACGTCACCAGTAGAGATAGAAACGATCGGTCTATTTAGTTAAACCATATGAAAGTTATAAATTATAACAAAAAGTTTTATGAAGGGTTACGTATTGGAGAATAGTAAAACATAAAATGGAAAAGGTCCAAACAATAAAAGGAAAAATAAAACTATAAAAAATTTGTCGACATAATTGAATAGTAATTTTCTATTTGTGATTAAATAAGACTTTAAGCATGACAGTTCGAGATCGAATGTTGGTCACAATGTGATTAAAAACAATTTCATAAGAAGCTTGGGTATTAATTTCATATTCAATCTATGTCGTCAATTTTTTATCGAAATCGAAGATTCAAACGGTTTACTCCCTTTTTCTATTAAATTAATAATTCCTGTCATGAACAAGTTGATTGCAACTCAAAAATGTCGATTTTAATATGTCACAGTATATTTTGTTAGATGGCGCCACGATTTTTCCCATTGATGAAGTCTTCTAACTAACGACTTTATAAAACTCGAAAATAGTCAAAGTATCTAGTACAGACGATTTGAGCACAATGAGATATTTAAAAAAATCAAGCAGCTGAACTGTGCTTTGCATGACATGGAAAGATATCGAAAATTTTTAACCCACATGAAACGAAATCCTTCATAAAAAAAAGTGTTTGACCAAGGATGTCAATTTGAGACGTCGAAAGCTGGTAAACTGTTTTAGTAGGATTTAAGTCAGCAAGCCATATCTTGTAGTAGATTGAAATTAGAATTAAGCAATAGTTAACCTTTTTGCTTGCACTAATTAAGAGATTCTCGAAAGATAATACCATAACTACTTCAGTATCGTCAGCATATAAATTAACGTCATATTTATTGGACTTCCAAATGAGAGGAATGCTGTATGATAATATAACCAAGATTGGAAAGAAATTTAGTAGAGAATGAAGCATATCCTGTTGATTTATTTTTATTAAAAATATGAGATTTTATCGAAAGCAAAATTTTTTTTTTTGTCTTTTGAGTAATTAAATATGTTGATTTAATTCTTTTAGATTATTAGATGTTATTCATACTGAGAAAACTTTAAATCTTATATTTGAATATTGTGATCAAGATTTAAAAAAATATTTTGATTCATGTAATGGAGATATTGATTCAACAACAGTACAATCATTTTTTTGGCAATTATTACAAGGTTTATCATATTGTCATGAACATAGTGTACTTCATCGTGATCTTAAACCACAAAATCTATTATTAACTAAGGTTATAAAATTATTTGAATGTTTTTTCTTTTTTTTAAACTAAATATAAAAATTTTTTCTTATTAAAAGAATGGAGAATTAAAATTAGCTGATTTTGGTTTAGCAAGAGCTTATGGTATTCCTGTTAAATGTTATTCATCAGAAGTTGTTACTCTTTGGTATCGTCCACCTGATGTTTTATTTGGTGCAAAAATTTATACAACTTCAATTGATATATGTAAATGTTAAATGATAATTTGAATGATTCTTATAAGAATTTTTATTATTTTTTTCAAGGGTCTGCGGGATGTATATTCGCTGAATTAGCAAACGGTGGAAAACCTTTGTTTCCAGGAGAAAGTGTTGACGATCAGTTGAGAAGAATATTTAAGTAAATAAAATGATTTATAATTTTGTTTTATTTAAAAATTATATTTTTAGAGTAATTGGAACACCAACTGAAGAAACTTGGCCTGGTGTTTCAAGTCTTCCAGAATATAAACCATTTTCAATTTATCAACCAACACTATCACTGATTCATTTTGTTCCTAAATTGAATAATAAAGGCAAAGATCTTTTACTGGTAAATATTTATCTTTTAATATTCATTTATTCTTTGAATTAGAAGCAATAACAACATTTAGTTACTGTGACTAATTATCATTAAATTGAATAGAAATCATAAGAAAACTAGTTTTTATTCGTTTTTCTTTTCTCGAAAACATGATATATATATATATCACAACCGGTCATTCGATAAATATTTCGACGCTTCGATTTCAGTTTCCGACTACGTGAACGATTATTTTCGAGTGATCGAAATCTGTCGGATATAGGCGAAAGAGAAAATTCGAACATCAAAACTAAATATTGAACTATTCGTCTTCTGTAAAAGTCATTCTGATAAATTAAAAATAATATGATGTTTGAGACGGATTTTGGTCTTAGTTTTCATCCATTGATATTGAATATTGTTTAGAAATTTTGTAAATTGTCTTTTGAAGAAGTTTCACATCATCATAATTAGACTCAGTAGTAAAGCTCGTCGAGTCCAAGATTTTGAATTCGGACTCGATCGAATCGTACTTTGATAATATCAATGAAATTTTCTAATCGAAATTAGATAGCCATTCCGAAGATATGAAATAGTTTTTTCCGGTATTTTGTATTCGATAACTAGTGCATCCTATATATTTTTCAGATGACTAGAGCCTATTGAGTCCAAAGTTTTTAGATTCGTACCCAAGGAACTCTACTCAGCAGTTGAAACAGTTGTTCTGCTAGAATTACTTCTACTGGAGTAATCGAAAGCATTCTTCTGATGTGGTTTTTTGTGTCCTCCAGTAGTTGGAATTTTGATAAGATTCGAGTGGTTATAATGCATCCGAAGAAGCAGTAGCATTCTTTCGATAGCTTTTGCGGTCATGAAGCACTCGAAACCTCAATGTGTGTCGAGGAGTCGAAAATGAGTATCCGATAGAATGCTCGGAATCCGATGGCTGTCGAGGGGCTCAACATTGGAATAGAACGAACAAAAAAATATACATTTCAAATTTTTAACCGCTTATCGCATATATGCTTTTCAAAATTTGCTTGGATGACTCTTCTCAATCGAGAGTTTGTATGTTTTTAAGATAATTAAAACTAAGAACTACATTTCTAATCATTTATATAGATTATTTCATTAATTTTAATTCTCAACAAAACATAGCCTATATAAGCTTCGCTTAGATATGTTAATATTTCATATGATATATTTTCACCTACGACTATGTTTCCTACTAGCAGTAATATAAATTGAAAAGTATTAGTTTTCAGAATTGATAAGCAACTATTTCGATCGTTTACTTGTGACTTGTTTTAAATTACTGTTCAAATAATTAGTCTAAGAATACATGGAAAATAAATGATTCAAAATGAGAACTGTACATTTTGATTCATTATTCGAACGATAACTCATGAAAAACTCTGCATAAGCAATCACAATGGAAACTTGATAATAGCATACATAAACTTTTTTTTTCCTATCGAAATTTCGAACATATGAAATAATTTATACAAGATTGAATATATCTATTAGAGATAATCATTGTTCAATGAAAATCGATTGATTTGACATAATCTCTGTGGAATAAATTTCTGACGTCATCATAAATAACATCTGAACATTTCAATCAGAATATCAAAGATTAGATTATCTTTAATTTTTGACATATTTTAAATTAATTATTTCATATTTTAGCGTTGTCTAATCTGTAATCCAAATCAACGAATATCAGCAGCAGATGCTCTTCAACATCCATATTTTTCAGATATACAATCAGTCAATTAGTGGAATTTTTTTGTGGTGCATTCAATTACCTCAGCAAATGAAGAAAAATAAATATTTCGTTTATATAAATCTTTGTTATTTGTTGTAAACATACATATATAATTGTTCTCTGCTAGCTTTCATTCTTTTTGTCACTATGTATTTGTACGTATTTTATTTCTATCAAAAGAAAAAAAAATATTCAAAATTTTGACTCAAATGAAATTGAATTGTGAAAAGCAAATCGTATTTTTTTTTAAAGATTTTATTTTAAATAATATCGGAAAGAAAACAAAGAGAACGAGAGAAAAGTTGATGGTAAACGAAAAGAAAAAAGAAAAAGAAAAGAGTATCGATAGATTTTTTTCGCTATGAAATGAATAAAAGATTAAACATAGTAGTACATAAGCACGACAAGATGAAGAGAAAAGGATCTTTAAATAGAAGCTAACTACAAAGAATAGAATAAGCTGGAATGAAATGTATTATTTATTTGTGTTGTTGTTCTTGTTTTCTTGTATTGAATGCTTTGAAATGAATTTAAAAAGAAAAAGCGTTCGATTAAAGAGAAGAAAAAATGATGTCATTTTAAAAGTCAGTCAGATCTTAAAGGAATATCTCCTTTCATCAAGTGATATATACAATAAATAAAATATATTTAAATATTGGATAATTTAACTTTAATTGGTAATGATTCTGTAACTTCATAAGGTTGATCATCAGGTTGAATTTTTTCTTTTTCATATGCTTCATAATCATATGGATGAAAAACAAGTTCTTGAGCACGAACTGATAAAGCATTACGAGATGGTGTATGATGACAAAGTGACATAACCATATCTAAAATAAAACAAACATTAAACAATCAATTGAAATTTTTTTATTATAAATAAAAATCTCAAGCTTACACCAAAGAATAGCTGATGATGAAAGAAATACGGCAAGAAAGATCCATATTGGAACCTTTGGTTGTTTACGAATAAGATCATTCCATTCAGTACGAACATCAGTCACCAATTGTTGAAAACGATTCTGTATTGATTCCATAGGTTGACGATAAAATGGACGTTGTTCATTTGGATAGTCTACAAAATTTCGAAATTGATCAATTAATGGAGCTTTATCATTATTTTCTTCACTTGATGAATCAAGATTATTATTAATTGGTATACGAATAATTGGAATATTTTTTGGTAATTCTGATATTGTGTCGAAACCAGGAAGTTCCTGTTTATTTTCTTCAAATGATCTACGAATTGCTTGTTCAAAACCATTTGCTCTATCTTGAAATTGTTTAATCATATCATTGAACATTTGAATTGGATCACTGTTAAAGAAATGCGACATAGATGGCATTTGAATTGATGATGGTAGCTCATTTAATGGATGTTGACGAAGACGTATAAGAATAATTGAACGTGGACGTTCTGGTTCTACATCAAGAGGAACAGCTCCTAAGCCATTATTTATCTAAAATAAAATGATGATTAATTTTAAATTAAGAGATTAATCTTACTGGAACTGGATCAACAGCAAGGACAGGTTTGCCTTCATCCATTGGGCGACTTAAAGTACAACCAACCTGACAACTAGCTCGTGTTTCTTCATCAGCTGAAACTGATTTACATTGATCTGCACAATTTTCATTGTGTAACTTGAAATTACAGCCTAAATTTATATTAATAAATCATTTGAATCAATATCTATTTTGTTTGATAATTAAATTCAATAAACATACCTTTTCTACAAGCACCCAAATGATCTTTCTTAGCTGCATAATTTGAATAACAACCTGTATAACAGCTATTTTCAGTACGAAACAATGTTTCGAGTAGACCCATTGCTGGCGTTGACGCCAATAAAATGGCAAAAACAAGAAGTTTTACCATAATGTGAATGTTGTGTTTATTTCAAATTTTTAAATAAATGATTCAATATCTAATTTCTATAAAGAAAAGAAATATGTACAAAAGTGCAACTCTAAGCGCAATGAAATGTTGACGCGTAAAATCTTATTGATACTATACAAACGAAAAAAACCAAAAAACAAACGAATAGAAAAGAATATCCGTTCGTACACACAGCGACAAAGGTAGACGAAGAAATGTTTTATTCTACGTAGTAGCTGTTTTTTTTTCTCGTATATTCGTTAACGTTTTTTTTTTCTTCTTTTCTTTTTCCGCCCCTTAACCCTTTTTTTTCGGTAGTTTTTACTTTGCATAAAAAATATATGAAGAAAGAAAAAAAAAACAGAAAATAGGAAATCGCTTATTAGTCAGCATCTATTTTGATGTGCTTCACTGCCTTTAAGAATAAGAAAAAAAATGTAATGTAACTGACGATCGTTATGAAGAATAGTGATACAAGTACGAATAAAATAGAACACGCATCATGTCAACAATGTAAAAGTAAACGAAGAAGGAGAAAGGAAAGAGAAAATGGAGAATCTTTAGTAACAAACACTAGACGACGCTGTTTGATTATTTGTTTATTTCTTTCTGCTGTTTATTACTCATGATTCATTTATATTATTGTTGCTACTCCATCTATTAAATTGAGTGATTGATTTTTTAAAATAAAAGAAAGGTTGTATAATTCTTCTTTTGCTTGTCTACAGCTAAACACGAATAAATCAATAAATATTATTAATGACCGTAATAAAGTTTTCGATAGATGTCCTCTGTAATCACATCAATATATTTGCGAAAATCATGATTAGCAAACATTTGGTTAATATTGATTTTGTATGCTGAATGGTTCTAATTTTTACTTTTCTTCTCTAATTTATATGTACAAAGTGTTTTAAAAGTCCACCGGTAAAAAGAATGTGTATAACTTTTACATAATCCAAGAACTATTCGTTAGATTTCCATAATTTTATTCCATATATTTTAAAGTTGTGTTTTACATAGTTTTATTTACGCGCTTACTGTTGGAAACAAGCATATTGCAATGAAACAGGCAAGTTCATTATTTTCAATTACTTGAAAAAAAAACATGCCATAGAATTCCCTGCAACTCATCGAATAGAACCACCTATTTGAATCCCAATTGTAAGAAAAAATGTTGTTCAGAAATAGATTTAGTTTATGGTCAGAATCTGAACGAGCCTTGTTTTTTTGAACTATTCACTGAGCGTTGTCAGGATTCGAAATGCTACTGAACAAACTTTGTAAACAACCAGAACACTTGATATCAATATGCCTTCATCACCAACATAAGCTTCAGCGGTTTGTTTTTTTTCTTGTGTTATTATTGTAACATGTTCAGAATATGTCCTATCTACGACAATATCAGTTTGATAAAAGCATTGAGAGAACTCATCTTAATTTGACAGTTTTTGGTCAAAATCGACTAACAGCTTTCTTTTCATAGTCGTAGATGATTCAGATTTGCTCATGAATAGAATAAATTGTATTTTAATGTTCATAGATATATACATTTTATCTGAAATATGCTGAATAAAACTTGGATGAGTATGGAGTCAAATGATGAAAAATAACATGTAAATCAATTTAGCGCTTAAAAAGTTACTCAAGTTTGATTTTTTCAACAGACATTTGGAACACCCTGTGATTCTTTACTATCAAATAAAATACACTTCTGAAAAACAAATCATGTTTGTTCTGTCTTTAGAAAAGATTATGTGGAACAGAAAAAAATGAATGTGTTTTAATTTAATGAATTATTTTATTGGATTAATTTTTTTTTCAAAATAATTAAAAGAATGAAGATGAATCTCTACGATGACATGTGTCCTGACAAATCTGAAAAATTTCACAAAAAAAGGGTTATTTACGTCAGATAAAAATTGAGTTCATATCTGTTGATTACCGATCAGTTGTTTTTCTACTTAAAGCTATGCCAGTCACTTTCTCAATCACTAATTGATTGCATATCTATTTATCTTTATCTTCAATATCCTTTTATGTAGGATAATAGTGATCTTCTGATGTCATTTATGTGAAATTTCAGTTGATACTAGTTTGATCTCTTGGATATTGTTCAGATTGATTACAAATCAAAAAATATTATGAAATATTTTGTTGTCTCACTTGAATATGATCGTGCTCTGACTATCTATTTCGTTTCATTGTCTCTTTTCAGGATTCCTTCCTTTGATTTCGTAACATTTGTTGTTTGTATGTTCTTGATTCACAATATCTTATCTCAAAAACCTACATAGAATATGCCTTATTAGATACAAATGACATAATAGAAAAAATAATTAATAGAATTCAATTAACCGAATGATCAGAGCAGTTATGATAATAAATATATATTGAAATTCTGTTTAAATTATACAAGATTATCTTGACAGTAATCATCAAGCAGAGTTATCACCGGTCAAAAATTCTCGAACCCGTTTGTTCCGACCGGTTTGAACGATTTTTAACGTGTCAATAACAAGTCAATTCATTAAGTTTTTTTTATTCGGTGAAAATTCGTGATTTCAAAAAGAACCCTTTTTTTCATTTGTTCTGCGTATAGTTTTATAATTGTTTAAAGAAGATGGGTGGTCACATCGCAATGCTTAAAATTTGTAAACTCTTCAAAAATAGACTAGTTATATTTGTCCGTTTTCAAGCGGATATCCGTTCACTCAAAAATTAGTTTTTAAGTTTGAATTAGTTTTATTGTCTATCGAAAATTTACGGAAGAAATTGATAGTTTCTAGTAAAAATTGTAAAAATCAAGAACGATTCTAACACAAAATATCTGTAGTTAACATCAAGAAGTCAAGATCATATAATATCTGTTACTGACATTTTTAAGATGTAACAAACAGTCTAATAAGACAAAGAAAAGTGGTTGAAATAAACAGAAAAAAATTCAAATAAATCAAGATTATACTAGAATCGTAGAATAGATTGTCATCGATAATAATGAAGAAGTTGATTCCAACTTAAATAAAATTTTGAAAGAGTTCTTTTGGAATTTACCATGTGTTTTGAGTCAATTGATGAATAACAGGAGAGCACAAAACAAATTGTTGATCATATTAAGTTAAAATTGAATCTTAGAAGTAAATTTTCATTTGATAATAATATCAAAATAATGTTCAAAGTCATAGAATTAATCAGAGATGGGCAAGTCTTTCGATTTGACTTGAAAAAGTTTTAGACAACTTGTGACTTGACAAAAAAAAACACAAGTCAAATCAGACACATTTTTGCAACCGAAATACATATTAAATTTACATTATGTTACGTTATAATTTTTGTTCTAATATGAAAACTCTATTCTTTAATAACACTTGAACATAATTATTAGTCGACACCAACAACACTTGAAACAAAATTCTACGGATGATGAACAATAATTAATACCAAAGCACGAAAGTTTTTAGACATTGAACAAAACAATATTAAAAAAAGGAAAAGTTGATAATATTGTATCTATCAAAGATAAAATTGCTAATTATCTTAGTGATGATAGTTATTCGAACAAATTTATTTTTAGTAATCAATTGATTAACTATAAATCATTGAACAAATTGGTAAGGAAGGTTTTTGACAGATGTCTTGTAGACGAATGATTTGATTTGTGTCAAAACAAAAGCTGACTTGTCGACCTCTGAAATTAATTGTATTTTCAAGTAATATATATATGTTTCTATCAACATAATCTATTTTGATTGAAGAAATACTGTGATTCAATAAATTTAATATGTTCTTATTAAAAAAGTGAATTATGATCTAGAAATTCTTTTTTTTATTTATATAGATTTTTTATCGAAGCTCCACGTATATGATATTTCAGTACAGATCTTAACTAATATAATGAAATCAAAGTGAATGAAGAATAATTAAATATTTATTATCTTTTGAGAAAAAGACAAATGCAAAGTGTAATATCTATCATTCATTCTATTTCACTAGTCTCTATACATACGCAAGGAACTCAAACAGAGAAACAAGCCAAGATATCTGGTATTGTCAGATAATCTATTGTTATAAATTTTTGATTATCCTTATTGCTTACTTTAAAACGACATGGACCTTATTATTAAGAATTCTATACTATTAAGTGTCTTTTTCTTTTAAATAGTGAGTAATAGATATATTATTAACGAACTTCAACTCGTTGTGTATGTTATTATCGAATGTACCAACACTTTTCTGTATTATTAGATATGCATCTCCTTTTAAAAGTATGTATTAGACAATAGCTATGATACTATTTGATTTGCTTATGAATTGGTATATGAAATAAATTTACGTAGTTTGAATGTGCTTGTGACTGTTTAGGATCAAAACAATAAAGGTTTGACGAACAATTTGTCTTTAATCTCGATAATTTATCGTCTATCGTCAAATAAATTATCAAACATGATAAGTGTATATTGATTATCGGAAGTGTACGAATAACAGAGTTTATAAAATTCGTGTCTCTCTACTGCGATACAACTGACATGTGATGAAAATTTATTTGCGTCAACCAAAATAAAAAAAAGAATAAATTGTGAATATAATCAATAAGTTTTTAACCGGATAATAATAGTAAAAAGATTACCATAGAAATAAATGCTATACAAGAGAAATGATTAAAATTATTGTCCGCAAAGAACAGTATTTTTTTGTTTTTCAGACAACTCATCGAAAATAGCTGAATAGGCAGCTTGATTTGAATAGTAGAACGCGATCGATCAATCGAACGCAGTTTTAAATGAATAATAATAGGAGATCAAATAATAGATAATTTCAATAATACTATATTGTGAAATCTTATGATATTCGTTAACGGTACCAGATTATCGATATTCTATAGTGGATATATTGCTAAATGTTTGCAAACACTTCATGGATAATTAGCTTAAATCGAAAGCAGGTCTTATTCTATCTAGATTTTCTCTTCTGGTCGAGGAATTATACAGAAGAGCGGACAACTATTTTTGGAATCATCCAGACCTATCGTATATAATAGAATAGGCACAAACTCAAGGAGAGCCACTCGATATTCAGAAGAGCACCACTCCTTTAGCTAGATAAAACGCTTTGTATGATCTTTAGTGATCATCTAAAAAACCCTTGATGAACACCGCTGTTCCATTTTTTTGGATGGAAATCCTTTCATGTTCAAGTAAATGAGTAAAATCATCAAATAGAAATATTCTATAGTATCTATTCAATTGACAAATATTAGCTACTTGTTATTAAATATGACAAACATAAGTATAAGTCAAAGTTTTTTTTCCTAATATAAATTTCTTTTAACAATTTCGTCAAATATTGACATCCATAAATATTTGAGAAGTTATTTTTTTGATTATACAATATAGATAAATTAAAGTAAGAAACTTATCTCATGTAGACGTCAAATGTCAATACTTGAAGTACAAGAATTATGGTCTGCTTTCTATAATAGTATCGTTTCGTTTACAAGTATATTTTAGCTATATGCATAGTATTTATTATTGCCGACGCATATTATTACTTTTCCATAACACTTAAATATCTATTGTTTTGATTTTCCATTGATTGAAAAAAAACATATAGTGATAGAAGAAAAGATGTTATATTATTCATCATAAATCGAAGATAAGCTTAAATATAACAGATAGAATGAAAGACATCAATCTATCGATAGGATTCATCATATGGTAAGTCATTTATACATTAATGAAGGTTACTATTGTATCTTCTTCTGTTTTTCGTATGAAGCTTTCTTATTTTAATCTTTATAACTAATGTCAAAAGTATAAAATCGTCATCTGTTGTCGTTATTGGACATCGAGGTGCATCTGGTTATCTTCCAGAACATACATTATCTGCTAAAGCTCTTGCTTATGGTCAAGGTGTTGATTATATTGAACAAGATGTTGTTTTATCGAAAGATAATGTACCTATTGTTATTCATGATATTTATTTAGATGAAATCAGTAATGTTGCTAGTCAATATCCGACACGTAATCGTTCTGATGGTCGCTTTTATGCAATTGATTTTACAGTTGCAGAAATAAAAACATTACGTGCTAGTGAACGTTTTAGTCATCAAACAGGGAAACCAATATATCCAAAACGTTTTCCTCTTAATCAATCAACATTTCATTTAGTTACTTTAGTTGAAGAACTTGAATTTATTACTGGTCTTAATAAAGCAAATATTGATAATAATAAACAAGTGGGTGTCTATGTCGAAATTAAAGAACCATCATATCATAGAAATGAAAATCGATCAAATTTTAGTGAAATTGTTCTTGATATATTACGAAAATATAACTACACAAAACGTACCGATAAAATATTTTTACAATGTTTTGATTTGGAAGAATTACAACGAATTCGTTTACAACTCCAATCAGATTTAAAACTTGTTGGTTTATTACCAGATAATAAACATCGAAATATATATAGCAAAACTGATTATACCTATTGGAGAAGTGATGTAGGAATAGAAGATATGTCAACATTTGTTGATGGTATTGGTCCACATTATTCATTATTATATGAACAAGGAAATACATTAGAACCATCGAAATTATATAATGATGTTAGAAAAAATAATTTATTTATTCATCCATATACATTTCGTAATGATGCAGATCTAAAACCATTTGCAACGTTTGATGTTATGTTAGAATTTTTTATTGATAAACTAAAAGTTGATGGACTGTTTACTGATCATCCTGATAAAGTAATTCAATATATAGAATCTAAACGAGAACAATTTAATGCAGGAACAAAACTTAATAGTCTTTCTTTTTTTTTAATAATTTTATTGCTTGTCATGACAATCTTATGAATGTAGTTTATATTAAAAAAAAAATAAATGATTGATCTTTTTAAAATTACTTAGAATATGTTGAGATAAATAGAATAAAAAAAAATATAACAAAAATCATTTTCTTTTTTCAATTAATTTAATATAAGATTCTTAGATAATTAGAAACGATGTAAACCAATCCAATACTCTTCATTAAAGATTGACCTATATGATTTTATTATTCTTTTGTTTTATCTAGTCAATGACATTTCAAGTAAATGCAAAACTTTTAACTGCTTCTTCCTAGATGCAATACGCAATAAGACCAATCGTTTGCCAAACATCATTATCATAAATATCAACAAGGGATGTATTTTTCTATATATATTTTAGATAATGTCATATACAAATGCCCTCAATATAATACTTTTTTTTATGTGTTAGACGCGAAAGAGAGGAGTGTCTCGAATGCTTGTAATCACCATACTATTTCTCTATGTCCTTGGAAGAGTTCAAGGAGTAGCACGTCCGTTGGTTATTGGTCATCGTGGTACAGCCTATTTGCCTGAGCTTACGTTAGCTTCACAATCAATGGCTTATGCTTACGGTGCAGATATAATTGAAATTGATGTTTGTCTCAGTCGAGATAATCAATTGATTGTAATTCATGGTAAAATTTCTCTATGTTAGAAATGATTAGTTTCAATATTGTTTTCTTTTTCTTTGCTTTTATATAGATATCTATTTAGATGGAGTGAGTAATGTAGCTGAAATTTTTCCAAATCGAAATCATTCAAATGGTTTTCATTATGTTATTGATTTTGATTTAGCAGAATTACGTCGTTTAAGTATTCGTGAACGTTTTATACCATTCAATGGTACACAAGTATTTCCTTTACGGTTTCCTTCTAATACGAATATTTCTTTTCATCTTTCAACGCTTAATGAAACAATTGAATTATTACTTGGCCTCAATCATGCTACACGTCAACGTCGTCAATTACTTATAGAAATAAAAAAACCTGAATATCATTCTAAATATAATAAATCTATTTCATCTATTGTACTTGCAACATTAAATGCTTACAATCTAATACAACCAACAGATCCTGTTATTTTACAAACATTTCATATAGAAGAATTAATGCATATTCGTCGAAATCTCGGTAGTAAATTACGTTTATTTGCATTAATGACATGGAATCGAATAAATGAATCATCAAGTGATTATGATTTTTATCGAAGTGAAGAAGGTATTAGAAATTTATCAAATATTGTTCAAGCTCTTGCACCTAATCATGAATTTGTTGTTAATTATGATTCAAATGGTACAATCTTAGGTGTTACTAATTTGACAAAATGGGCTCATCAATATGGTCTTGCTGTTTATCCATATACATTTAGACAAGATCTATTTCCTGGCAAAAGTTTTGAACAACTCATTGCATATTTTTGGGATACAGTGAAAGTGGATGGTTTTATAACCGATCATCCAAATGTGATTCTTGAATATTTGCAAAGAGAAATGACATTAACTAATTTCACTACAATAAATCCAAATTCGTCGTCGTCACGCTTCGTTTTATCAATAATGATACTTATTTTCAATATTATAGTTATGTCAAAAAAATTCACCGGACCTTATTAATTATAAAGAATGATTGAAATAATTTTCTTTTAATTAAAATAATAAATTACTTGTAATGAACAAAGAAATGACACGTTCTTCTTCTGATTTGAATATCATACTTTTATTTAATTGCTCTTAGAACTTCAATAGAAAAAGCCAAAATAGTAAACAGAATTCCTCTGCATAATTTTTGATAATATACAATATACCGATAACATGCGAAAGTTTACGCTTCATAAGTTGGCATTAATAAAGTGTTACTTTTTTAAGTCTTTCAAACATAGTTAAAAGCTTTCAGTAATTATATCACATAAAAATGAATATTTTATTTTTGTTAACTTATTTTCTTCATAATAGTGTATCATTTAATAGTCGTATTTCACTCTAGGAAGGCCTTTCTTTGACCAGTAGCACACATTCATTTGAATTTCCTATCGACCAGTATGTTACGGAGAAATGTTCGAAAGTCAATAGAAATTTACAAATGAAATATACTAAGATGTACTTGACACAATACGATCGATTTTGACAATCGATTGCCAACATTGATTTCATAAAATGATGAACACATTCGTTCAACTCGATCTACTGAGTTTGGTCTGTTTTTGAAAAATCTTACAATAAATATTGCCGACCAAAACTTATCAAGTGTTAAACATTCTATCTTTAAGTAATAAGATTCATAATTATTTAATCATATAAGACAGCAGTGTAATACAAAGCAATCGTGCTTAATATTAAATAGATTTGTTCTATAGTCGAACTATTCACATATTTTCTTAGATCAGGTAATATCTTTTATTCGTTTATATTGATACTGATTAAGTGAAATGATAGCTTCAGAAAAGAATAATTGTTTGACATATTAACAAGGGAGAAAAAAATTCATTCTGAACCATTTGAATAGTTGGAAAAGATTTCTAATAATTGAGATTCTCGCAATTTTAAAATTAAGTTTTTGTGCTTTGAGATGTTCAGATTATTATTTTCGAATGTTTCCGAAGCAGAGAAGCAATTCTATTTGTGTTGGTTTCTCACTCACGAGGGAAGTACCCGAAGTGATTAACCGCTTTTGAGCTCATATTTTGGGTGTATAGAAGAGACCTCTAGACTAGAATAATCCTAAAAGGATTCGGGCCCATAGGCCTTCTCTACAGAGTTATAGCCATTTTACTTGAGTTTTAGCCTATGACATGGTATGTGCAAAGAAATCGACAGACGGTATTTCGATTTGAAATTTTGTCCACCGATAGGTCTACTTGTAATTAGAATGCTCTGAAAATTTCAACTCAAAAGAATGTTTTTTTCGCAAGATACTGAATGTCGAGAAAACATGAGATTCTCGCATGTTTTATGGGATTTGAGTGATTTTTGAGAATTCAATATCTTGCGAAAGAAACATTCTTTTGAGTTGAAATTTTCAGGGCATTCTAATTACAAGTAGACCTATCGGTGGACAAAATTTCAAATCGAAATACCGTCTATCGATTTCTTTGTACATACCATGCCATAGGCTAAAACTCAAGTAAAATGGCTATAACTCTGTAGAGAAGGCCTATGGGCCCGAATCCTTTTAGGATTATTCTAGTCTAGAGGTCTCTTCTATACACCCAAAATATGAGCTCAAAAGCGGTTAATCACTTCGGGTACCTCCCTCGTCAGTTAGAGTTTTACATGGATCTTTCCCCAGAAGATCAGATTCTTTCATATTTTACCTTCAATCAATCAGATTTCTTCATAGCTCTTACTGATCAATCGACACTTCTTTTTGACGATTGTAACCACTTAATCAAATGTTTTCCATGCTCATCAATAGGATTTTATTCGACAAAATATGATGGATCGAACAATAGGTATAGAAAATTCTGATTAACTAGATTTAAAGTCTTACGAAGTCGATCGACTGTAAAAGAAACAATGTAAATATTGATGTTGTTCGAAAATAAACAGTCTAAAAAATCTGATTGGTTTGAAAAAATAATTTAGAAAATTGATTGACTTTGAATAGGTCGGAATGTATAGTAATAACCGCAAATGTCAGAATAGGTTTTTCTTCTTTGCATACTAGCTTTTATCAATAGATTAATTTTTCGAAAAGCTATATCATTTACAAACTAATATACATGTGAAATTCGAAGAGTTACTACGAGTTTTAAACTTCTTCGAGTTTTCAACTATTCAACTTTTACAATTTATAATTCGATTACTCGAGTTTTCAATTAGTATAGAATACATCTCCAGAGGATCTCAAGAGGCTCTGGAAACGATTTCAACCGGGATCCTCAGAAGATCTACACGGAATCCCTAGGAATTCATCAGAGGATCCTCTGTAAATACTCCAAGGATTTCTTTAGAGATTTTCTAAAGATCTTCTGCAGATGTGGTAAAGATTTCTTCACGATCTTCTGTCCATCCTTGAACATCAACTAAGGATCCTCTGAAGATCAAGTAAAGATTCCCGGAGATGCCTAGCGATGCCATAGAGAACGCTGAGAAATCCGTTGAAGACCTTCTGTCGTTGAGTTAAGAACGTCCCGAGAGCCCCTGGAAAGCGTATGTATAACGATTGGGTAGCCATTTTAGAATAAAAAGGGGGTTGAGATGCGTATGCTTTGGCCAGATGCATAGCTGATTGGCAAATCATAGACTGCCAATTCATGGATTTCAAGCTCACTTTTATTGACCTCATAGCACCAAATGTGGGTACCACGAGAAAAAGAATAAAACACAACGACCTATCAAGTATATCGATCAGACTTCGAATATCATTTGTATGTATCTGTTGCATTATATCGATTATCCAGGTGTCAATATATCATTCCCGATGTATGAATAGTTGGAAACTCAAAGATACGTTTAAAACTGGTAATAAATTAACAAGTTGTACACTACTGTTCGTATCTCGAAATATCAAAGTTGTATTTTTGAATTACTTATTATAAAAAAAGGAGAATGTCGAAGAAAATCGACATTAGATTTACTTTCAATACAAGCAAATCTACACACAAAATATTACCCATGAGGAAAAAATTTCTTTTTGTCATTGTTGCCGTCATACATTTCTAGACTCCTGCATCGATTTCCTTACAGATATTCTTTTTGCTTGATGTACATAGGTGTGGAAAGACGATTAATAGCTTTGACTACGTAGAAATGAGTCACACCCTTCTATCATTATTATGAATACATGAAGACTGTAGTATAAGCTAGCAGCAAATAAAAAGCCCTGCAAAGAAAGAATGTATTTGTGCTTCTTTCTCTACGTAGAGAAAAACATCTGTGTAAAGAGATAGACTTGTTTTTTTTTACTATTTATTTTTTTATCTCTGAGGTGTATTAACGACATATTATAACACAGGCACATAAAGTTATGGTCGACTGATCTTCGTTAAGGCAGAGAAAGAAAAAGAGAGAAAAATATTCTAGAAGCTTCTTTTTCTCATCTATCAATAGATATTTAAAGGTAAGAGAATACCTATACAACCATTTAATTTCATGCTCGCAACATAGTCACTGTCCATCTTGATTTATATGCCATTCAATATCAATGCTAGACAATGATTCACACTACAAAATTAGTTTATCTATTATTCATCCGAACATTATTGATAGCATATAACAGAGTATGGACGGTGCCATGTCAGTTTGAAATCAACTTTGATGATGCTAAGCCCAAGTTCAGCCAGCGCGAACCTAGTCAAAACTTGAGTGAAAAACTTTTGACTTATTCATATTCAATGACAATAGATGGATCGATATAGTCGAGATCTACTGAGTGATGATGAACAGCATATATAAACTGAACCTTAGTTATTAACGCCGTTCACAAACTAGGCACTCTTCCATCATATTTCACATTTCATATCAATGGTTCAAAGCGACCAAAAATTTGAATACAACTATGGCTTATAATGTTCTCTTTCTTCGAATTATTCGACGAGATTTTAAGCTTCAAAACTTGCTTCGAGTTGAATCAAATATCTGAATGAAAGCTTATTAGAAATCATGCCATTTCGACAAACAATCCAATCTGATTATAACATTTAATTTTGATTCGACATAAGAAGAATATATGAATAGAAGCTTATTATGAATCCTTCATCTATTGGATAATTGCTGCTCTTGTCACGGGTGCTGCACGTTTAGTTTATGCAGAGTGAATATTTGTATAAGATACTAATGTGAACGGTCTATTTGTCAGTTGATTATCTCGCATTTAGTGTCTTATGAGCTTGAATCATTTGTATGTCAAATACTAGAATGGAAGCTTAGTATTATGAGTAGGTCATTTAGTGTACTATAATCAAATATATCCTCCATTCTTAACCTTCTAATTGAAGAACGCGAAGTATATGAATAGAAGTGTAATATAATTGATTCATTTCTGAGGTGGCCTACGATTACGATATCATGCAAAAACTGTTGACTAAAGCGAATCTATTATGTGAATGACACTTTTATTAAAATTATACATAAACCGTCCCATCGCTGAACATATTGGACATTACAAATGTTTGTTTTAGAATGAAGAGCATATTTGAAAAACACCTTTCGATGCGAAATTCATCTGTCGCATGATCTTAGATATGTAATTGACTCTCGAATGCGATATGAGCTGAACAAATTACTTGAATAGAATTTTGATATAAGTAATTTACTTTCCATGACATTATCTAGCATAACTCTAGTTCCAAATAGATTATGCCACGTGAACATAACATTTGAAAAATAGAAAACAGTTCTATAAATCATGCGTCTACCTAATGATCTACGGAAAAAAGCATAGGTCATCTGAGTATTTTGTTCAGTGTGTGGTATTTGAATAAAAGGACAGTTTAGATTCAGTTACCATATGCTTCTAAGTCGTATTGCTAATTTCCTAGGTTTTTTTCAAATGGAACAAGATATTTGAACATTAACTTCCTTCAAAGGATTCATTTGTTATGTTATATTTCAACCTGCTAGAAGCTGATGGCTGTCTTTTATAAGAGTAACGTATTCATATGGAGACTTTCCTC